GTAAGTGGGACATGGGACAGCAGGGACACCCACCCTTGGGGCAGGGGGTAGCTGCTCCAGGATGCCTGAACTCCCAGGGAGGGGTCCTGCCATCCCAGCACAGTCACAGCCCTGGGGGCTCCCTGGGACACAACCTGCAGAGCTGCACCTCCACCCACAGCCCACCCTGCTCCCTGACAGACGGACCCCCGGGACAGGGAACCCATCAGCCTTGCCTCCCCTCCACCCCCTGTGCTGCCTGCAGCAGGGAGCAGCTGGGTGCGGGGGGGCCAGGCTGGTCCCTGCTGGTTTCCAATCCTCAGCCAAGCCCAATGCAGCGCTCGCCAGCCAGGTCCTCTTTCAGGTTTCTCACCCACCCTGCGACCCCCATCACTGCCACCCCCCACCAGCCCCAGGGAGGTGTGATCCCCCCAGGCACTGCCCCTGGGCAGCACCCCAGCAGTTCCCACTCCCAGGGGCAGGGGAAGGATGCTCCACGAGGTCTGGCCCATGCCAAGGGCAGAGGGACAGCAGCTCACGTGGCTCTGCCTGGGTCTATTTGCCGCCACGCCTGCCTACAGAAATTAATCAGGGCTAATGGGCTTTTGGGTAAGACTTCTTTGCAGAAGCTCTGCAAGAAAGACTTTGAAGTGGGATTGTGAGTGGCAAGACCTTTATTTAAACACACAGTGCTCTGCAAGGACAGGCTCCCCGCCCCAGCACCCCTCCCCGCTCCCTTCAGCACAGAAGATGTCAACTAGGTTAAAATCTTGCTGGATAACTTTCACTTCCCATTAAGTGCACCCAGTTTATTTACATCTCACCGATTACAGGAGACAAACAACATTCACCAGAGGTGACACCTGACAAGAGCTGGCTGCACCCAGCAGCAGCAGGAAGCATTTCCAAAATGGGACCGCAGCCCAGCCCTCCCCAGGACCGCACTGGCAGGATGGGACCGTCCCTCGTGTTCTGGGTGGATGCAACGCTCTGCAGCGCTCCAGGAAACCCGTCCTCCAGGTCAGAGGTGTGTGTGATGCAAAATAAGATCCTGCTGAGAGATCAGCTGCAGCCTCAGCTCTCTCAGCACCAGCCTGGCGATTATTACGAAAAAGGAGGGAGTTGCCTTGCTCCCCCCCGTCACAACCAAGCTGCTTCATTGCGGGTTCCCAGCCCTCCGCTAAGCAGCTCCGTGCCACGTTTAAGCTGTTAAGCTCGGCTGAACGGGGCTGCTCTGCGTGCAAGGGCTGCTCAGCAGCGGCCAACTGAGAACCGCTCGAAACTACAGACATATTTTAATACAGACTCCCCGCACCAAGAAGGGATTTAGCCATTTTCCAGCTGAGCTCTCCCATTAATAACAAGTGATGGGCTCCAGAAGCACAGCAGTGACCCAAGGTGTGAGGAGGGGTGGGGGCAGACCCCGGCACAGCCCGTGTAGGTGTGACAGCTCGATCCTTCCCCAGGGCTCTGGGTGCATCGCAGGGATGGAGCACAGCCCTGTCCCCCCAAACTGGAGACAAGGACAAGGTGCACGGCTGGGACAAAGGCGTGAGGGGCTGGAGAGGGCAAGAGCAAGGCTGGGAGGGCAGTCGTGGGGCTCGCCCATCACCAAACCCCCTGTAACCAGACCTCCGTGGGGCTGAGCATTGCTGGGGGGGTGGCAGGGCTTCACCCCAGCCCTTGCGCCCAGCCCCAACAGCAGCTGTGGTGTCACTGGTGCAGGTGTCACAGGGCAGGGGGAGATGACCACAGCAGCGAGCACACACTGCTGCAGGTACCAGTGTCCCCACCAGCCCAGGGGCCGTCGCACATGGCTGGAACCAGCGCAGCCAGGGTGAGGTGCGAAGGATGCACCGAGAAGCCAGGGAGGATTTCAGCTTTTCACAGCAATCAAGGAAGTAGCAGCACAAAAAACACCCCTCGGCCCCATCCCCTGCTCTCTGCCCAAGGCCCTTCCACCTCTGCCCAGGGCTGGGATGCAGCCGTGGGGGGTGATGCTCTGGGCAGGCGCTGGGCACAGACACAGGCTCTAGGTTTCCTGCTCTTTCCATGTCAACTCAGGAAAAAAGTGCTTGAGGGAGAGGTGGCCCCGAGGCAGCTCCGCTGTCCCGCTCAACTCCATCCAGGCAAGGAGAGCCCCTCTGCCCCGGGGTCTCTGGGCATCACGTGTAGTTGCCCGGGCCACCCAGGGGGATCACAAAGACGGAGATGTCATCACTGGAGCCCAGCTTGTCGTTGGCCAGGCGCCAGCCCCGCTCCTTCAGCATCCCCCGGGACCGAACCACCAGCTCCTGGGCCACCACGGTGTACCTGGGGCAGAGACCAGCACCTCAGCAGAGACCCCAGACCCTGCAGAATCCCCGCTGCAGCAAGGGAGAAGCTGGAGGAGCTGGAAGTGCAGGAAGGGGTCCCTTGGAGAGGGGAGATCTGAGCTCAGATACACAAATCCAGGGGACATGTGGCCACAACGCTGCTCCAATGAGCACAGAAGATGTCACAGAGCAGAACACGCTCATCCTCCACCTGCCCACAGCTCACCTGCACGGGTCATTGGGTTCGTAGCTCGTCAGCACCTCCATCACCACGCTGGCCACCTCCTTGTCATTGGTGACATCCCAGAGCCCGTCGGTGCCCAAGACCAGAACGTCATCGGGACAGTGCTCGTACTGCGTGAGGTCGTAAACCCTGACCTGGCAAGCGACGGGGCAAGACGCCAGGGTGAGAGGCAGAGGAGGCTCCAGGAGAGCCCAGCAATCACTGGTGCTGCCCTGAGCTGTGGCACTGGGTGCACTGGGGACCCGGCCACCCCAACCAGCCCCGGCCATTGCAGGAAACCCTGGGCACAGAGCGGCCGGCAGCTGGGCTCACCTCGGGGAAGCAGGAGAGGAAAGGCTTGATATGGATGTTGGAGCTGAACACCTTGAGGTCGTGGTCTCCCAGGCCCCGTGTGACCCCGATCGTGGCCATCACCCGAGCCTGGGGGACAGTGAAACCAAAAGAAAAAACTTTAAGCCACTTCATCTCCAGCTCCAGTCCCAGATGAGAATCAGTGACATCGGAGCAGCAATAGCACTATTAAAAATGTGCTGGAAACCCCTAATTCAGCAAGGGCAGGTGGGAGGTGACCCCCCCACAGCTCCTGCCGCAGCACTTCACCTTTTTGCCTTCCCCGTAGATAAGCGGGAACTTCAGGTCAGCCTCTTCTATCTTTTTGTACGCCCTGGGTAAAATAAGCAGTGAGAATGTGTCAGCAGGCGAAGGCTTCCCACACCTCCCTGCCCACGCAGGATGCAGCATCCCCTGGGATGAGGGTCCCCAAGACTCGGGTACCCCCTGTGCCACAGCCCATCCCACGGGAAGGGATGCTGGAGCCAGCTGCAGGATCCCTGTGCCGCCCCTCGGCACACAGCCCCCAGTGCCCGGGGGTTACCAGCCGTTCATGTTCTGGTCTCTGTACAGCATCTTCCTCCCCAGCTCCTTGGGCTGCACCCTGCGGGGGAACTCCAGGTGGGTGAACTCCTTCCCCAGCAGCTCAGGCCTCAGGAACGCCTGCGGGAAGAAGCGGTGGCTCAGCTGTGGGGCTGGGAGAGCGGGATCTGTGCAGGAACGCCTGCCCCATGGCTGGCACTGTGCAGCACCAGGCACTGCGGCATGGACCTCCCTGTCACCACGGCACGGGACCCGCCAGCCTGCTGGGACCTTGGCTACGGCGACTCGTGGTGGGGGTGCCCCCAGCTGCTCTGCTGCAGCTCAAGTGATAAAGCGTCTTCAAACCACCCACCTGTGCTGTGCCTGGATGGGAGATGGGCTGGGGACAGCCCTGCCAACAGCCTGCCCGAAGGTGAAGCTTTTCCACAGAGAGTTTTGGGAAATAAGGATGTCCAAAAGGGATCAAAACCCAGCAAATCCCAGGAGAAGCTGGAATTTGTGCAGCAGAGCAAGCGTGCGCCTGGTCCCCTGCCCGCACCTTGCCCATCGCAGCAGCTGGAGAGGATCCCGCTCACAGCAGTTTCCTCCTCTCAGTCATTCAAAAATAGACCCAAGAAAAAACGCTTCAGTGTTTTTCCAAGTACATCGCAAGCCAGAAAATCACATCCAGCGAGACCTCCTCCAGCACAAACGCCTCCTCCCCTGTGCTGCCGTCAGAGAGGTCTTTACATCCTTCAAAAGTCTCCCTGTGCGGCACGGGGGGTTTGTCCCGGCCAGGCAGGAGAGGGAGCTTTTGGGAGGAAAGCAAGAAACCGCTGGCACATGTCAGCTCCGGCCTCCCCAGGGAGCAGCCGGGGAAGAAACTGGGACTCGGTGCGAACACGGTGTCTCCTTCGACTGTGAGAGGGAGTAGGACGGGTGGAGGGCACAGAGCCGCGCTCCCCC